GTAGATTTGATGTCCCAAATGAATGCCTCAATGCCTGCTCATGGGGTTGAGGCCATGTCACCAGACCTCAATGAGGTGCCTTGGCTCAGGCATTGTCCCAAGCATTTTTATAAACTTGATCTTGCAAATCACCCTGTTCGTGGAGCCAGTTAACTGTGTTCTCCTTACTACTGATGATTGAGAAAAACCTCAGCATCACATCGTGGCAGCTACAGCTGCTGATAGGGCAACGCTCCTCTATACACACCAATATCCATGTTGCCCCCCCACCCCCATGTGGCCCAACTCACATTCTATTTTTTTAATTTTAGGGCACCTCCATTAATCATTATTGGGGCCAGTGAAATAGATATTCAAGCCTTTACCCCAGACAAAAATGAAAAAGGCTATAGGACAGAGAGTGGTGGTAGGTGGGGGGGGGAGAGGGGTAAGATCTAAGGAACCGCCCCCCAATGAAAGATTTCTGTATCCACCACTGTGCATGTGACCCCACCCATGGGCTTCCCGTTCAGTGACACTGACAGGCATATTGGGGGCTTATTTGGGAAGGGGGGCTAGGGTCTATTGCAGTGGTATTCAAAGTGCAGCCCACTATGACTTACTAATTATTGACTTTTTCACACTAAACCGTTTTATCGGCACTGATGAATAATAGCCATTAACAATTTTTTCATTTCCAGATTTTGAATCCTTCGCTGAAAACTTAACAAATTCAGTCGTTGCTTAGATTTTTAGGTTCATATAATACCTGTTTACATTTAGCTGCTTGTGTATTTTGGTGTGCACCTACTAAATGCCTAAAATTCGGAACCTCCATATACTGCAGAAGAAATGTATTTCCTCGCAAGTAAATTAAGGCTAAAGAAAGAAGTATTTACGAAAATACAACTTGTAACAAAGCAGCACCAAGATTCGATGCGTTTACATGAGCCCCGACTCCAAGTAGTNTCTTTCCCTTGAGGACTATCCCTGACGCTCAGAGGATTAACTCTAATAGGGAAATGGACCACACCCACCTTAATTAGTAAAAAGATCGTAACAGTCCCTCCGCACCACAGTTGTTCCTATGTCAAGTGCAGCTCTATTCGGCACAGTTCTATTCCACTTAAGTTCAAGGGACTCCAAAGGACTCCAAATTAAAAAAAAAAAAGTTAGAGAACCTTAGCACATAAACTTTTTACATGTTTTGGTACGTAGACCACCAATGACCAGAGAAACATCAATGTAGACCACCAACGACAAGAATGCCCTCTAATCGATCAGGCCTGCGATTGGCGAACCAATGGCACGCGTGCCCAAAGTACCTTCATCTCATCGCATAGATGGGAGAGGGAGGCATCTGCAGGCAATGCGAGATTTCAAACCTTTTAAACCTAGAGAGGGACAGTCCTCCTTTAGTCTATTGGACAATTTGCAATATTTTATCATTTAATACAATATACTCTACGTGAAAATACTCCCCCCCCCCCGCAAAAAAAAAAATTTTTTGACATTAGATATAATGCAGAAATTTCACACAAGTGTAGAAGAATCACAGTTATTAAAAATACTGAGCTTCACAGAGCCGCTTATGTTGAGATGATGTGCCAAAATTGATCAATACTTTTTAACGCATCACACACGTTACCTTCATGGGTCTTAAATATCTGAGCACTGATGCAAAAAAGTCACACTGTCGTCCTTAGAAAAAGCATCAAATAGGGATCGACATCAAAGTTATGATTGATGGCATTGTAATTGAACGAGGTCAAAGTTTGGGTTAGGAGGTCAAGAAGCTTTTTTGCCCTAATGACATCCAGCGCTGAGGTCGAGCATTAATATCAAATTGACATACTCGGCCAAAGATGGTTATGTTCCCGGGAAAAAATTTAATCTGTTGCCCTATCACGTATTATATAACTATACTGCTCCCTCTTCTTACTTTGTCCTCGAAGTTACCTAACCTCCTACAGCTAGGCAGGGAACGGGTTACCACTGCATCATTACCAAACACGTTCCACGCAGTCACAACCCCAAAAAAGTCATTCCGCAACCTGAATCTTACTAGAGGCTTAAGGCCGTTTCACACTGCGTTTCCTGCGTGCCATGCGTTCACACGCCTGGATGCATGTTTTCATGCATGCTCATTTGCGTTGAAAGGGAATGCATGCGAGTCCGAACGCGTCCATACGCACGATTACGGGGGAAATGCAATACATGAACGAAAGAAAAAAGGGACAGCGTGTTGGGGCTCGGAATTCGCCGGAACTCAATTCAAAACGTAAGCCTTGCGTTTCCTCTTCATCTGGGAATTCATGTGGGTAGGCATGCACACGTCTTCTTTTGCATTCGAAAGTGAGCGAACGCATGTCCCATGCGTGTTTGAATCGCACGCGTCACACGTCAATGAGGCTAAAATGTGTGAAACGGCCTTTACGCTAGTACGGACTAAGCCTCAAGTGTGAATGCCAGTATCTATTTCACTCGAAGCTTTGACGGAAAATTTGCCACATTTTCACGTGCGTGTATCAATGTGCAGCGTCGGCCATTGGACTGAAAAGTTATATATCACTTTATCACTATATCACTTTACTATGATTTATCAACTGGGAATATTCACGTAAGGTTTGCGGGAAAAAAAAAATCCTGCCGGCATAGTGTAGTGGTAAGGGACTTGAGGAAACCATTTGTCCAAGTTGCGAGAACACAAAAGGTTCAGTGCAAAGGAGTGCGACTTGGTAAGAAAAGACAGGACATGAATGGGCCTCAGGGAAGCCCCTGATTCGTGAACGTTTGTTAGACCCATTCTGCATTGGAAGCGATCGTAATCACAAGGGCTTGCCAAAAGCCGAGATACAAAACGAACACGCAGGTTGCAAACCTGCGAATACATATAGTAAATACGCGAAAGTCGAGCCTGTTTCCTTAGTACAATGACGTGCTGCACAAGAGAAGCTCCATAATAAACGAATGCTTCACGCAGGGTTGTGAGTGCGTTATATCTGTAAAAGTTGGATTGTGATTTACAATATCAGCTTGAAAGCCTTTGAATCATTAGTAACGATATCACGAGAAGCATTGAAATGCAATAGTATATCTGGACGCATGAATCGAACCAATGGCGCGAGAGCCGACCCTGCGGTTCCTCGAAGTCGGGCCTGTGATGTGCTTCCTAGCCTCACTACGCATCCACCACCCGGCGTGAAGGCTTTAGCAAGCCTCCATGCCTCTACGCGCATGCTGCTCGCCGTGTTGGCTTGCAGAGGCAGGAACGACCGATTTTGGACAGACTATTTTCCCAGCATAATTGCCTGAGAGGTATCTCCAGGAGGGAGATTCGAAGAGGGGACTAGCTGGATATTGCTTGGCAGTCAAACTTGATAAGAATATCCATGGCCTTTGATATAAATCTTAGGCTGACCGTGGAAAGATGGATGTACCATTAGCACCACCAGAGACGTGCCGTTGTAAATTTGAATGCAGAATTCCCGGCCTTATGCGTGTGCTTCACTTGCCTATGCCTACGGCTAGGGATCGACTTTCAGAGACCCTCACCGCGATTCGGTCCAGAAAACCGACCCTCTAAAATATCGAATCCCGAGAACATAATGATGTAATCATTTCTTACAGCATACTCTTCAGCTACCTTAGAACACCATATTTACGACCATCAATGCTTAGAGCCACCAGTAAGTACCACAACATAATGTATACCAGGGACATTTGTAACCATGATCTCAGCGTGCCTCACTTAAAGTAAGAACGATGTAACTTAAGGAGCTCGTTTCCGGTTGACTATACGGATTTAACAACGATGTATTCTTTGTGAGACACATTTTAAGCTTCGCTTAAAACACGGATTCGACGACGAAGACACAGAGGGCAGTATGACATTATAATGGCAAGGTCCGTGAAGTGAACCGGAATTCCGTCCAAATTCGTGCACGGGTCGACTTTCGCGTACTTACGTTAATTCATGTTCATTACTTACGTTAATTCAAGTGGCTGCAATGCCCTTGCTTAGTGCCTTTGGATTGACATTCTCCCAATTATAGAATCCATACCTTCCTCCAAACCCAGCCTTCGAGTTGTGAAGTAAGAGCATAGTCACAAAATAATTTTTTATCACAGCACTCCCATGCAAGAGGTGTGCGATAACATTTGGTAGCTGGCCAACGTGTCGCATCCAATTTTAAGGGTAATTATGAAACACCTTTTGAGGGTTATCTCATTTTTTTTTTTAAGCAGGTACTTTTATCCTGTATGTATTGAGCAGGGCCAGAGATCTATCTGATATCTACCCAGCTAAATTTACTAATAAAAGACAAAATATATAACTTTTATTTGTAGTACATAATATACTTTTTTTTTTTTTTTTTTTTTTACCCTGCTTCATTTAGATTCATACTTAGGTTTTTAAAACAAAAGCAGGAGTTATAGATGCACCATGTGGGTATTGGTGCATCCCTTGTAGACAGAACAAAATTCACTGCCAGATGAAGTGCATGTGAGTGCTTGCTTTAGTTTGGTTTCCTATTTGTGATTTTGTGAGGTGTGAAAATAAGAATCCTGTGAAAGCAGTGCAGTGTAGGCTCACTGATACACTGTTAGGCTTTTCTCCTTAATATTATTATCCTATCCTTCCCCTCCCCAACTGCTTTAGTTTATGTAGGCCTGAATTTACATGTAAAAATGAAATGAAATTGGATTTGAAAATTTTATATATTTTTTTCTTATGGTGCCAAATTTTGGAGGACCTTGTGGTCCCATCTGCTAGAAGGCCTACCAATTCAATTAGGACTTTGATTATATGTTAATTCAAACTCTTGATGTTGACAATATCCACTTCTGTTACAGAAAGTTTTTAACTTCTATGGTTATTTATCTGGTGTTTTATTGTTCTTTAAAATCAAAGAATAGACAAATATAGTTCCTCTGTAGTTTAGACTTGTTACTCTTGTAAGAGAAAACACTCATTGACCCCTTCTAATCTCTTTGTCAGTTTATGCAGTTATCTATAAATGGATCTTCGAGAGAAGCTAAGAGCAAAGAGGAACATTAAAGGACTGGTTCACCTTTCACAGTTGAATCTGAAACAGAATCAAGGTAAGATTTTGAAGGCAGATGGATCATCAGGCTCTCGATCTCCTGCATCATCATCCTCCTCTTCATCGTCATCATTGATCCCTTCAACCAGTTCCAGTCAAGGAAGAGAGAATTCAGAAGCAAGATGGAGCAGTCTGGCTCAATTTTCCAAAAATATTCTGAGTTCAGAAGGTGATCACCTTAAACTTCATCTTAAGATCTAGTCATCAGGGCCACTCGACTTCATCAGGCTTGTGGGCCACATCCTTTGAGATGCAAGAAGTGGCCTGTGGGCCATGTGTTGAGTAGCCCTATTCTGCATACTTTGTTTTGCATGGTTCTTAAAGCATTATGTCAGTATTGCTGGTTTTTAGTCAGAAGGATGGGGCACAATGAGGTGATCTTTCCCTAAAGGGAGGCATAAAAAAATGTTTAAAATTAGCTAGTGCAAACCAATATAGAATATTCTAATAAAATGTTAAAATATGATTGCTTTTTTTAAATTATAAATTTGTATGTAATCACAACAATTATGTATACAGATAATTACACCTTGAAGTATCACTGAGGTAGTTAAGGTATAGGCTGACTGTCATTTCAGAGTGTATGAATGAAGTACATTTGTGTATGGTGTCTCCTTTGTTTTATTGTTATATTCTCTCTCTATGTGAATATCCAAGCCTTCATCTCCACCATCACTGTCCTGTTAAAGATTAGTCTTTCTTTTATGATTAAAAATATCTATGGGACAGTCTGCTCTCCTTGTCTCCTCTATCTTAACATTAGCAGTATTTCCTCTCAGTTTTCTGCATTCATGAGTTCCATGAACCTTGGCTTCCTTGTCTTTTAGCTGGGAAGTTGTTTTATTTAATTTTACCTTTTTATGGTATGAGATAAACTGAGGTCTTCCTCACTAAACTACTTTCTCTTGCTCATTCACAATGTCCTGCTTGTGATTTGGGGTGGATTACTTCCAAGGACTCTCCCCACCATGGTCTTTTTATTTTTCCATGGGGCAGGATGTTTAAGTTGAAAATGTGATTAGTATATTAATACTTTCAAGTATACCTTTTCTGACAACATCCAACATTCAAAATGTCTTTTATGCAAAATTTCAGTCCTGGATATTAATTTTTGTGCGTAAAAAGAATATTTACGAAAGCACATGACATCTTGTGAGCTCATATGGAAAAATTTCCCTCTTCACTCTTACCATGCCACATTTCTGTTGTATAAGTGTGAATGACTGTTTCCTAGATTTTGCTGCTTTGGTCAGGCCCTTTTCTTCAATGGAAGTAGTAAATCATGATAGCATTGCAATTCAGAGTCCTAAGGACTGGGAGACAGCGATATAATGATAACCTGTGAAGTGGTCTATTCTCTGTCATTCAAATTCATTGCTCTAGTAGGGTAGTTTGTTCAAAGTTTTACTGTTGATGTTAGGGATAGGCTGTGGTATGTGTCATCACTAGACAATCCAATATAGATCAGTTCCCCAAGTTTTCCATGCTATTTAAGCATAAATGGTCAGGAGCTCTTTACTATCCATACTTCTTCCTTGACACTGCATTTGACATTAATGGATGATTGAGAAAGTGCAAAGTGATGCCATGGTTACCCCCCTTCAACACAAAATTGCCAAGGAGGGTGAATGTGATGAAAGCAGAATTAGGTTCATTATTTGTATCATTATTTGAAATTATGCATTTCACCATGAATTTGGCTGTTCCATTTTAACACAAGTGCTAGATACATTTTAGCTGAGGCTCATCCTATTAGGAGTTTAGTTTGATAAAATGATGTACAAATATGGATACATTTTTTTTATACTCTTAGACCATCAAGCATCACCTTCAAGAATAGATCTATTTAGTGGTGAAAGAAAGCAGATAGTTATTTAGTTTCTGAGGCTGTTATGACCTTAGTATATGACATATTCCAAAAAAGAAGTCTTGACTTCACAGTATTTTGCTGTTTTGAGATGGACTGACAGATAATTGTATTGGTGTTCATGTGTACATACTTGTTGCACCATTCTTGTCAGCAAAACATACTTTTCTTGCCATCATTTGATACCTATTGCCTTAGATTGCTGATGTCTGGGAAGTCATTAGAGAATTTAGTTGCATGCCAAACATCCTGAAAAGACTTTTCTGTAGAGGTTTGCTTTGGAAGAATGTGGAAACTATTTTAAAAGAAATAACTATTCAGCTGTTGATGTCATAACTTTTGACTCTTTCTCCTATTTGTGTTGGCAGAGTTGTTTTATTGATGCATTTCTGGTTTAGATGCTGTGTTGTGACATGGCTATGTGCTTGGTGGTCAGTATGATATCAAGCTTTTGCAGGGGTATGTAATTTGGTTTGTGCAGCAGGTTGTTATTTTTTGTAGCCTCTGAAGATGGTGATTCCATGCAGATAAGGACTCCATCCACTGTTTCCATCTCTAACATTGTCAGATCTGCAGTGAGTTCATGTATTTTGGATTGTCTTGGTAATTTAAAAAAAACCCATAATTTTTTATTGGAGAAAGTAATTTTTTCCAGCGATAGTTTTCTGATTATCCATCTCTCAGTACCTATATACAATATAGACCAATGTTTTTGGCTGTGTGCTATTTTTTCCATAATCTAACTGCTTGTCAAATTTAATTTAATTCTGAGACAGTTGAGCACAGACCTGTGGCACACTTTTGAAATGATCCACATGTAAATTGTGAAATAAGGTATAGTATAGCTTTGACAGGGATATTGATTACAACTTAATCCTCATTCTAATAAGTCATAACCGTCCATTGTTCACCACATTTATAACTTCTGCTGGTTGGTAACATGCACAAATCTATATTTCACCCATAAAAATGACGTGTTTTTTTAAATCAGCACAATTGAATAATTTTACATATGTAATTATGGCAACCATATTATTTGCTTGTTTAATAATATTGGTCACTTATAGGTTTTATAGGTCAAATGTAATAAGAAAGTCAAATGTCCCTGTGCTGCCTGGGAGCATCAAAAGTGACTTAAGGGAAGTCAAACCAACATCCACCACTGTCACAGTGGTGGATGTCGGATTTTAGGGAAAAGCATGTTCAACATAAGGATGGTCAAATGCAAACAGATACACAAGATGTACCATTCCTGTGTTCAGGGGATGCCTTCTTGTTGCATTTTCACATCGTATGACTTCAGGTACATTTGCATATGGTACTCCTATTGCATATCATACTATTTGGCAATGAAAGATATTTAATTACATACCAATAATAATGAACTTGTCTCCAAATATTTTCAGCCTGCAGAAATATTGACTCTCATCAGGTCATGATGAATCATAACCAAATTGGAGTCAATCACCAAATTTTTATTTTTGATTTCACCAAATATGATTGCATCATTTGTGCTGGTATCACCAAATTTGCCTTAACCTACACCAAAAATATGCTTTCATCATCAAACTAATTAATTTTTCCACATTTGTAACCCTTTCAAAGAAAGGATTTTTCTTACTTAAACCTGTGATGGCAAGATGAGATTGTATTATTATATAAGTGCTTCTAGAGGGGTCTTCAGGGGAGGACCTGTGTAACTTGTCCCCTTGCACTTGCGAACATGTATAGGAGTTGAGTTTGGCACTGACTTCCAGTTTCTGTGTGCTCTACGTGTACTTCTGTGTACTCTAGAGGTGCCATGGCAACCAGAGAGTTTGAGGACATTGAAACAAGGAGATGCCTTCATTGCCTCCAGTGATGTCAACGTCACAAGGGAAGAGGTTGGGAAAAGTGCACAAGAATATCAGAGAACCAGAGCATTGGGAGAATAAGACTCTCTCTCTCTCTCTCAATTGTGAGAGCTCCAAATTTTGAATGCACTTGCCCAGTTTAGATCAAGACTGGCTTTTGCAAACACTCACTCAGAAGGCTAAGTCTGTGTCCTATGTCCTGCAGGCCCACTAAAAAAATTTTTTATTTCTTTTGACACATGAAATGTGACAATGATTTGATGCTAGCTCAATAAAATTTGGTGGTCATTTTGTGGCATCTGGTGGAAATACTGAGGGAGAATTTGGTGATGTAAATTCATTGAGTGACCAAATAATAAAATTTGGTGATGAATCATAATTTCTTCGTGACAGAGTCAATATTTTTTGGTGAAGAAAATTAAATACTTCTCTTTGACAATCACCAATACGACAGGGTTAGCCATATGAATATGCTACCACCAACCATTTGGGGTGGGAGGCCAGATTTCATGTATGAAAAAACAGTCAGATTTGGGGCTCTTCTTAACCCCCAAATAGTGTCCTTGTTTTTTCATTGTGTAACTGGTATTGTGGGGTTGAAATGACCCCAGCAATGTGACTTTCAATAAAAGCAGTTTTTTTTTAAAGATAAATAGTCATTTAATATGGCAGTCTCCTGGCTACCATCATTGCAGTGAAACACCTTAGTGGTGGCATATTCCTAGGACTAAGACTGACATATCAATAATTGCCAGATAATATGATTTACAATAGGAGCACCATATGTAAATGTACCTGAAGCTGCATATTGGGAAAATGGAACAAGAAGGCATCCCCCTAACATGGGTATGGCATACAATCAACTCTCGATAACTCGAAGTCACAGCATTTCCCTTCAAAATTCTCATGAGGAAAATGTGTTTTTCCCCAATTTTAACTCTGGCTGCTGTAAGACAAATTTATTGATAACTATTGAAGCTTTTGCTTGCCTCCATGCAATGAATTGTTTCTGAGATTGAAATTTTTTTGCCATCGATGAATTTTGCTGTTTTCCCCCAAATTTCAGGGCAATATCATGCTAACCACAAGTCTGATGGATGCAGTTTTCTTTTCCTGGGAAGGTAGATAGACTGCAATCACTTAGAGTTTTCTTAATCCCTATATCTGATGATTGGGTGGCATTTCATATGTTGGTTGAGTTTGTACTGAATATTGTACATCAATATAACTATTCTTTCGTCAGACTTGGTGAACCCAAGAATGTGATGATTCACATATTTGGTGCCCACCCTGATAAGTTGGGAAAGTTAAGGCTGCAATGAGACACGGGGTGCTTGTGCCTGCCCCATATTAGTACTACACCCTGGTGTCAACTAGTCAGTCAGTGTACACGAACCTTGCTGTCAACCATGGCTCATGACCTCATGCTAAACCTCATCCAAAAAACCTCTATAACTCAAATTTTTTGTTGACTCGAATTTCCCTTGAGCTTCAAGTTATCGAGAGTCCACTGTACCTTGTGTATTTGTCACATTTGAACTTCCAATGTCAAACGTGCTTCTCCTTGAAATCCAACATCCGCCACAGTGACATATTTGACTTTCCTTATGTTGCTTTTGACTCCCAAGCAGCACAGCAATGCATTTGAATTTCCTTGTCACATTTGACTTTCTTATTGCCACATTTGACCTATAAAATCAATATGCTTTCTGAATGTCCATTTCCAGACAACTGGTGGCGATACTGCTGTGAAACTTTTCATTGTGTTGGACACAAACATTTTTTTGGACCCATGCTTCTCTTTGGATGACCTTGTTGACAGTAGCTTTGTTGGTGAGATGTGTGGATTATTTCCTGTCCTATTGAAAATTTTCAGTCTGATGTTCTATGGATATTTTTGCTTCTTTTTATTTTGTCCATATACTATATCTCCACCTCTGTACCTTCCAGTAACTACTACTCTGCCTTAACCTTCCTTGCATCTAGGATTTGTACCAGTCCATTTCTCTTCTCTTGCATTGGTTCTCATCAGTTGGGACAAGTGCAGGCCCATTATGAATTGGTTCTGGGAATATACAATGAAGACAATGGATGCATTATGCTCTTACCCTCTGAAGATGTGAAACTAGAGGCAAATTTGGTCAGCTTATGAAAATAACTGCATGATTATCTCCTATTCCCATTCCCAAATGAATTTGAAATTTGCCTATTATGCTGCTGTTGGAAGAAAGTAAGGGTAACTACTAATAACTTTCTTTTTTAAGAGATCCATAATTATGTCTGATTCTCTTCTGTGTATTTGGCAAAAATATAGATTCAACATAATGTAGGATTAAATAAGGTTCATAATTTGTTTTAAACTAATTTTGCAATCATGCAGATTTATGACAGAAGGTAATACAGGGAAATCTCGTTAATTTGAAATCCAGGAGACCAAAAAATACAGACTTCAAAATAAGCAGGTTCGAATTATCCAGTTTGGTCATTTTTTTTGTAATACTGTACTAAATCTGCATGTTTTGAACTGCGTATTCTCTTCCTTTTGGACCTTATGGACATACCTTCTCTACTCCTCTCATCATCCACACTCCACTTGTGTACAAAGGTATTTTACCAGTTACTGGGAATTGACTTGTGAGGGCCTTTGAGTTCACTTTTCTTTGCCTCTTACACCTTCAAGGGTGTGTTTTCCCCCCCCTCCTCCCATTTCATTTCTTCCTCTTTTCATGTATCAGCAAAATATCTGCAAAAATATGTAATTCAAACCATTTTTGTGGCAGGTCAAAATTGTCAAGTTAGATTGGTAAAGCCTTTCAAAATAAGGAAGTAAAAATATCAGTTTATATATTTCAAAGCTTCAGGCAAAATTATCAAGTTTTTCTTTTAGGATTACTGAACCTTTCCCACCACATGACCAAACCTTCTGCACTGGACAGCAGTAATAAAATCTGAAGAAAAAAAAATCAGCATTGTTCAGATACTTAATATGGTCAACCTTCATCATCTCTGGTGCATCAGGAGATATAGAGTGGCTGAAAAACATTAGCTATATAAGCCTAATATTAAAAACCAAATGTGAGAGCAACTTAAAAATGCTTCATTTTCCTTAGAAGAGAGTCATTGCAATTCCAAATGGTTGACATGAATAATTTGATAGAGCATGCAAATTATGACCCATTTATGCATACAGAATTTTAAAAATGTTAATTAAAAATAATATTGAAGTTTGAGCAGTAGTCTGTTTATGGATCACACTGTATGATCATTGATAAATAGTGAATACTAGAAAGGAGAATGGAAAGGTATCGTAGAAGAAATGTCAGGCCTGATATGAAGCCATAAATGATCTGCAGTCTGTTCTTTGCTGCAGTCTTGTGGGAGGAGCAGGAGGTCAGAAACTGGTGTGGGTTAATATAAGATGAAGAAAATAAGAGAAGCTCTCATACCTGAAGAGGCTTCTGGTGTCTGAGCCTCATTTTTCCCTCTTGCTCTCTTCCTCTGAGCTCTGTGCATTATCACTTGTGGATTAGTAGTACATCTCCAAATTTTCAGTGTGTACTTTGCTTCCAAGAATGCTGATGAATTGTGGTGCCTGGCAAAACTGGCAATGGTGACATCATTGTATTGATGTATTGTAACTACCTTAGTATCCCATACAGAAAAATCATATATGATTTTATGAGAAATGGGCATATATGGGAAATTATATCTGATCATATCTTCTAATTGAAACAATGAGTATATGATTATATATGACAGAACCTTTTATGAACTTAGTGAAAGACATGCATGTCAAAGATTTGGAACCACAGATAAGAGATTTATCCAGCTTTGATATGTCTCTTTTATATGTTGGGGCATATAGTCAAGCCTGGCATGAGACTCAACCAGATCAGGTATGGAACACATGATATCATGTTATTCCCACAAATCTTGTTGAAATGTCAAAAATGACTCCAGGAACCGTGCTGAGAATTGGTACTGCATTTTTCACTTCAATGGCATTATAACTACAAAAAATGTCTCTGTATTGTGCTACAAATTAGTTAGATTATGCAATAATTGTACTGTCACTAGGAATCGATTTTCCAAAGTTGTGCATGTTACAGAATCAATAAGGGATGAATAAGATGAAATGAAAGTAATCACTACAGATTCTCCATGCTGGTGCCAAATATATATTTATTTAGGGATCATCAGCTTGTTCATGCATCTTATTCCTCTTTCTTTCACAGCTTTGTCATCTTTTAATTGAGAGCTGAGAAAATGTCAAACACCCTGACCTGAAAATTTTGTTACTACAGATGTTGCTATTGGAACATGGTCTTAATGAGATAACAATAGAAGCCCATATTTGATGAAAAAGCAAATGACTGGTAATGTTGGATTAAGTAGCTCACATATTTAAAAATGATATTCTGAAGTCAGGTACACTATTATACACAGGTTCCCATTCCTCAAACCTAATAATTCTTCTTTTTGGAAAATTGTTACCCAAATGTGTTAAATGTATGAAGAAGCTTTATACAGATTATATGCTTTAGCCATGTGTGCTCTCATCCCATATATGTAGCTGCTGAGATTGATATTTAAAAAATATATAAATGTATATGCACAGATAACTGCATGTAACTGCCACATATGATCATTTTGCATTGGTAGTCTTCCATCAAGTTTTCATCACTTATCGCAATAACATATTCCATGAGGGCATTGCACTTTTTCACTAAGTCATTCATGTAGTATAGTGAAGTATCAGGATTGTACAGGTGTAACAAAAAAAAAATTTAAGTCAGACAGTAAGAAAGAAGTGACATTTTGCCCTTTCCCCTCTACTATCCAAGGAGTAAATCTCAGATTTAAACTTTTTAAAGTCAAATTTATCATCTCATCAATTCATCTTCTCATGAACCCCAATAGGCATAATTTGTGTTGCTCAATCTCAATATGTTATATATACAACCTGAAATTTGAACCACTAGTGCATTTCTCAAAACTCCCTTTTCCCTTTCTTGCGTATTTAATCTCCACACTAACATGTCCCCTCTCTCTGGGTTCTTTTGTGTCTTCACAGCTTGAAAATTTAAGTTTTTGCAGAAATTAATGATGTGCAATAATATTCACTCTTTATAATATACCTTAGTAATGAAGTAATTCATAAGAGTACTCAGAAATACACTGGGGTCTCAAAATATCCAAGAGAAAATTGTCATTTTAAAGCTGAGAGGAAGCTAGAGTTTGAGAAATTTGCTAAGCCTGTGGTCATCTGGTTGGATTGGCTCCTAATCATGATAGCTCTGACTTCTACAAAGGAGATATCTAGTATTTATAGCTTCAGCTTATTTGGTTGAATGTATCTGCCCAAGAAGAGGTGGAGGGTGGAAAGCAATCACCTTATGACTGAAAATTTTGTGCATCTTTATACCACACTCCTTTATCCATTGCAACTAAATATTGACTTAATATTGGATGTGCATGGTGGATGCTGCCAATATTTACTAAGGGCTGAGCTTGTCCTGGGCCAGGCATCTTGTGTTAGCATTGTTTGGTTAACCCATTCACTCCCAGTGACTGCAGTTATGGGTTGAAAATATGGGTTGAAAAACGTAATATTATGGTTCCCTGCATTGATGTGTTAACATTTCTACAACCTTTGTTATGCTGTAGTGCACTGTTATAAACATAATGCTCTTTTATAGGCCTATTAGATATATACTTTTTGAATCCCTTATCAGGTGAATGGTGGCTCTCTCACCTAACTCCCAAACCTCTCCTTGGCCCTATTTTGACAAAAACACTTTAGGCTAATATTTTGCAATATTTATTGGCTGTGCTGTAATTTGGGACTCCTCATCCTTCAGATTTTGGTGCTGCACATATTGTGATTCCCTGGAAGGTACTTGAGGAATTGGATTGCCTCAAGAGTGATTTGAGCATTGGAGAAAAAACTCAGAAGGCCCGGAATGCTATTGCACAGATTAATCAATATCTGAGAAGCTGTCATCCACGAGTTGTGGGTGCGTTGTTCTCAGCTTCTGTATCATGTCTAGGATTTTTTTCAGGTTAATGTGCCAGAAAGAAAGACTATGAAGAGGATAAATTTGTTTTATGAGGCACAGAAATATTTGTCCCTCTGAGGTGGAAGATATCTTTCCTATTAAATCAATCCTGGTTGCATGGCAGTTTGAAGAGAATGAAACTCTTTCAAGCTTTGGCATTCATTGAAATCATTAGTTCTGTAATTGTGAAGAGCTTCTATTTGCATACTCCTACCTACCTGTAAGTTGGGAATGGTTGCAGCATGTTTTTGTGCCACATAAAGAAGGTATGCAAGTGTAACTAATTTTTTCTAATTTTTTTTTAAATGAAAATGTTAGAAAGTGTATGATGTATAATATTTAACCCTATGAACAGCGAAGAACTTAGTTCCCTGGTACTGAATCTTAGAATTTCTCTGCTAAAATACCCAAATCATTATATTGTTCCTAAATACTAAACTACAGAGCCTGCAAACTTATGGCTCTTTATGCTTCTACCCCTTCATTAGAAAATGGAGTTTTTAAAGTATAATATCCATCTCTTGTTATGCAGGTCAGACAAAGGAGAAAGGACACAGTGCAAACTTCTTCAGACCACAGAGCAGCTTTGATGACTCCATCCTTCAGAGCTGCCTCTCTGTTTTGAAGGAAAACCAGCCATGTGCTGTGATTCTCTTGTCCAATGATGTGAATCTAGGAAACAAAGCTATGTTCCATGGGATTGCTTCTGTTCAATTGGTAGACTTGAAGAGCAACCTGATCACTTCGGATCAAGGGACCAGATTCACTTCTCCACTTTCCTGCCAGCAGGAGCCCAGAACTTCACCTCAAATGGTATGCAGTAGGGAAAAGAAAAGGTGCTTAAAAAATGTTTTTTTTTTTTATAATTATCATGTGACAAGGCTATCCATGTGGACCTTCTGACAGTTTGCATGCCATGTGGTCAGCAAAAAGTAAAGAAGGTCTGTGTGATCACAGGAAATGCTTTCTGCTCCAGTTAGGAATGTCCTACCCTTTCTAGAGGCTATCATCACTCAGCACAGATCCCACATTGAGCAGGAACTCTTGTCAGATCACTGTAGCTTTTGTGCCTCTGTCCATTTGTGGCAACTGCATTATATTTAAACTCCTAGCTTCCTGCCTTTTTAATAAACCTATCATCCCCCTGCATTAAATAAACCCTCCATTTCCAGTGCTTGTTTCTCACATTCTTAGAAGCTCATACTGCCAGTAGTATATTTGCCGAGTTTCAGCTGCTTCTGTCCATAGGTTTGTGTTGTTTCTTATCAGAAAACTTTTGAAATGGATCACCCTGTATTTATGGCTGCCTAAGGCTAATTTTCTTGGTTTTTGGCTACCTTCATCTATCATAAATTACTGAAGGTCACATTGAGATTATAGTTGATCTGTGCTGTTCCATCATTAACACATTACCAATTATTATTTGTTTGACCTTTAGGTTTAAACAATTGTTGTTGCCTTCTTTGTAGGATCAAAATCCTGCCTGTCCAGATCCAGAGCAGAGTATCAAGTACCTTGTTGAACTCAAGAAGGTTCTCACCAGGGATCTGTCTTTTGTACGTTCTCTTGTGTCTTCCTTCTTCCTCTTTGCTTTTTGGTGCAGTATCAGTAGTTGACAATTGATTTGAAAGTGTGACAGTACTTAGTATATTCAAGAGCTGGAATGTTTTGGTGGCAAAGCAGTAATTCAAGGCCATAGCAGACAACAAATTTTTTCAATCAAGGGTGTAATGCTGACCAGAAAATTTAGGTCTATCTGCAAATGTGTGTATGCATAGCATGAACTGTATGATTGTATTTGTATACAGTGAGCATGTGTGGAATCACCACTTATCTAAATCACCAATGAAAAAGAAAGTCTAATTTTTCTGTTATTCATCTATAACTTTGTCAAACTTTTTGCGGATAATATATGTTGCAACTTCTTTGGTTCGAAGTGTAATTACAATGTCAACTATGCCACAAAATGAAATGAAAGGCTGAGTAAACCCATATTGTTACCCATTTTGGTTTAACTTTGAGACAACCATTATGAATACTTTCCCAAATGACAAAGAAAAATATTTTCAACACAGCTACTTGCTGTTAGATACCTGTCCTCTCCTGGTTGTTGTTCTTTCCAAATGTTCATCTATCATCCATGTGTACTATTTTGATGAAGGTATATGAGAACAAACATGTTTTGGATTACACTGATTTTCTTATGAATAACAATAAGATGGTGAGTGAAAATCAGCCCAAAGTAAGAGGTATAATTTTGAAGTGACCCCATTCCCTTGATCGTTACTGTCTTTGGTAGTGTTGGAGTGAAAGAGGAACAGTCACCTGTACTAATCTACTAGTGAGTAGATCTACTACTATGGTCGCGCCTTCAGAGCCGTTTAGTGATTCATTCATTAATTTTTTTTCAAAGTGGCAAAAATGTATGAAGTAAGTGTAAATACGAGGGGTGTTCGAAAAGTAATAGGAATTTATTTATTAAACAAGAACGATTAGAGCTAAGGTAACAAGAGTCAGCCCATACGTAGGCCAACATGTAAGCATTACGACCTGTCAATGCCATTCAATTCACTCAGTCCATTCTCGAGTTATAGGCCGTGCTGTCCCTTGCTATTTTTCTATTATGGAAGACGCGGTGAAAAATCAAAGGTCGATGATGTTCTTTTTGTGGAAGGAAGGAGTCAAAACTGTTGATATTGTCAAGTGCTTGCAGTGTGTTTTCGGAGATGCTGCTGACTCAAAAAGCACAGTTTATTTTTGGATTAACCGCTTCAAGAGTGGTCGGCAAAGCCTTGATGATGACCATTGGACTGGAAGGCCCTCCACTTCAGTTAATGAAGAAAATGTGGCAGCCATGGAAGAGCTTGTGATGGAGGACAGGCGAGTGAC